TTTTGGGGGGGGGGGGTGATGCGAGGGAGAGAGGCGTTACACACGCGTGTGTTTTGCGGTTGTGACACCTGTTTTGTGTGTGTGTGTGTGTGTGTGTGTGTGTGTGTGTGTGTGTGTGTGTTTGTGTTTGTGAGAGTGTGTGTGTGTGTGTGTGTGTGCATGCGCACGCTTAAGGGAGCCTGGGTCTTGTGACTGAGACTGCAATTGAACGCGATAGGGAAGTGTGTGGCAAAGCAGGCCCAACACAAGACAAGGAGAGGGCGGCTGGTCAGGAGTCAACGCGGCAGGGGGGTACGTGGGGTGTGCCAGCCCGCTGTCCCGGTCTTCGAAGCCCACCATGACGCGCTCGGGCCACGACATGGTGTACATAATGGGCAGCCGCATGTCCGGCCAGCCCAGCTGTGGCGGCGCGGGGGAGGGGGGGCGGGGCTGTTGTAAGGCGAGCGCAAGGCAGCGGGGGTGTTCCGTGCTGTTTGGGGTTTGCAGAGCGACCAGGCGCTGGCCAGGCGCGTCAGGCGCTGCTTCGCCCCAACCGTGAAGGTGAGTTTGACGCAAGACCGCGTATTGCGAGCGGAAGCCGCGAGCATCAGGCCAGACGTCCAAGGTGTGGACTTGACTTGCTCGCCCTCGCCCTCAAGCCCGCGCGCCGCCCCAGTCCCAAGGGAGCGCGTCGCAGCGCACAGCGCACAGCGCAGAGCGCAGAGCGCCCGGGGTTGGCCGGTTGGCACCTGCGCGAGCACACTGCTGTCCGCGGTCTCGATCATGGAGTGGATGATGGACTGGGGGTGGATGACGATCTCGATGTCGTCGTAGTCAACGCCGTACAGGTAGTGCGCCTCGATGACCTCCAGGCCCTGGGTCGTGTGATTGTGTGTTTGTGTTTTTGCATATGCTTGTGTGTGTGTGTGCTGCTTGTGTTGCTTGTGTTGCTTGTGTATTTGTATTTGTGTGTGTGCGCGCGTGTGTGTGTGTGTGTGTGTGTGTGTGTGTGTGTGTGTGTGTGCGTGCATACGTGAGAATGAGCGTGAGCGTGAGCATGAGCATGAGCATGAGCGCGCGCGTGTGTGTGCGTGCGTGCGTGCGTGCGTGTGTGTGTGTGTGTGTGTGTGTGTTTGTGTGTGTGTGTGTGTGTGTGTGTGTGCGCGCGCGCATGTGTGCGTGTGCATGGATGTGTGTGGAGGAGACCCAGGAGTGAGGGGGTGGCAAGGGGTAGCGTGACAGGAGACGCAAAGCGGATACGTGCACGCATGCGCGAACTGCACACAGGCACACAAAGCGGTGGTCGCAGCGCCAGCAGCTTTGCAAAGTTCATCTGCATACCAAGAGCAAGCCAGCTACCCTCTCGCATTGGCGCCCGTCCACAACCCTTGCACAAACACTCATAGCTCGCGCCACGCCTCCCTCCGCCCACCTTGTTCATGAGCGTTGCGCTGTCGATGGTGATCTTCTTGCCCATGGACCAGTTGGGGTGGGTGATGGCCTGGTCGACGGTGACGTCAGCAAGCTTCTCGACGGGCCAGTCGCGGAAAGCGCCGCCAGACGCGGTCAGGATGATCCTGGTGGCGCGCGTCATCGTGCGGTGGATGTGACCCTCAGAGGTACAACATTGCTGGGTCAATGCGGCTGCAAGCGCAGTGGAGCTGCCAAACCGCAGGGTGCACATGTTTTCTGCATCTACCCTTCGCTGAGCCCCCCCTGCCCCCCGGGCCTAAAACATCATGCCAAACTTATGCCAAGCCCACCTCACAACCTCTTCTCTACCACCCACACCTCCTGGCCCCCTCAACACAATTTCTCCCCCAACGCCGCCCCTCCCTGCATTACTCACTTGCGCAGGCCGCCCTCGGGCAGGCCCTGCATGACCTGGAAGATGGCGGAGTGCTCGCTGTCGGCCGGCAGGATCTTGACGCCGTACTCGGCCGCCAGCGGCAGCACAAAGGGGCCGCCCGCGATGAGCGTCTCCTTGTTGGCCAGGCAGATGTCCTTGCCGGCCTGCGGGGTGCGGTTTGAGGCGGGCGGTCAGCAGTGAGCATTGAATGCGATGTGAGAGGGGTGACATCTGCAAATTTGTCAGCTGACGTCCAGGTCTGCGGGTGAGCTGTTGCAGAGGATTTCATGAACCAAAGACGCCCTGTCCACAGCAAAGGGGCAGCGATCGCAACGGCCACGTGCGGCACCGCAGGATGCCGGCGCCGCTTTGCTGGTCGACAAGAGGCGCAGCGCGAGCGCGCGATCGCACCTTGATGGCGGCTACCGTGGGCAGCAGGCCGGCGCAGCCGACGATGCCGGTCACTACAGCCTCGGCGTCGGGGTGGCGCGCCACCTGAGCCCAGGAGGGTTTATGAAGGAGAGTGAGTGAGTTATTTGCAGAAGGTCATTTGAACATGCGACCCGCTTCAGCTCCTGCCGCTGTGACAAGCCGCTCCACTACCAGCCTGGGGTCGAGCTGCAGCAGCACTCGCACTCGCATGCGTTCCACTTACAATGACAAGAACGCCTGTCACTTTCTTTCGCCTCACCACACACACATACATACACACATACATACATACACACACACGCACGCACGCACGCATACGCACGCACGTGCGCATGCATACGCGCGTCCACCCCCACTGCTCCGCACCTCGACGGCGCCCTCGTCCCCAACAAGGATCTCTGGCTGCTGCGGCACGTCCTTGATCAGCTCCTTGAGGGCCGCCACCTTGCTGCCATCCTTGATGGCCACCAGCTTGGGCTGGAACTGGCGGATCTGGGGGTCCGGAGT